TCCAATTGGATTCAATTATATTTAATTGGATGCAATTGGTTTGAAACACTGCATTTCCTATTTAAAATTTTGAATTAAACATTATTCACAATGCACAGAAAAAACTATTTAAAAATATTATTTTTAAATTGAAAGGCATAGAGATATGCTCCATGCAATTCCTATAAATGCATAAAATGCATTCAGGATTGAAAAGCATTCATTTTAACATTCGTGAATCAATATTTTTGAAAATCTGAATCCATTATAACTATCGATATGTTTGGATGTATTGTGTGTTGGTATAACACATGGTTTGAAAATTTGTTTATTGTTTATATCATAATAATCATTATTTATGAAATGCATATTACACCCTAGAAAACGAGAATGAATTGAAATGGATTCAGATTTTCAGAAATATTGATTCACGAATGTTAAAATGAATGCTTTTCAATCCTGAATGCATTTTTATTAATTTATAAAAATTGCATGGAGTATATCTATGCCTTTCAATCTAAAAATAATATTAGCTTTTTCTATGCATTGTGAATACTGTTCAATTCAAAATTTTGAATAGGAAATGCAGTTTTTCAATCTAATTGCATCCAATTAAATCCAAAAAAAGTATTCGCTATTTAAAATACGCATTCGGATAGAAAAAATTTCAATCCATTTTAATCCATTCTAATTTGTTGGATATCCAGAAAAGTACAAATGAAATTAATGAATGTAAGTATATTATTAAATTATAAAAATCATAATAATAAAGTAAGTGAACAAATACTTATTCATTATTTCTTTCCAATTCTAGAAAGAGATGAAAAATAAATTGAATCTCAGTTAAATTAACTATGAATTGTGGAACTGGGTCTTAGAACTAGAAAAAGATAAAAGCAAGTTAAACCGAGATTAAAGTTAATCTACATTGATAGAAATAGTGTGCTTTCTATTGAACAACATAATGACACAGTATGACACAATCGATCATTACACTCTTGTTTGCCTATGTTAAACAAAGATGATATGATCAATGTGTTGCACTGTGTCGCTTGTTAGAAGGCACACATAAGGCCTGTTCTTTTTGGTTGAACTTTTGCACTAGTTCATCTTTCTTCTTCTACTTTCCTCCTGGAGAGAAAAGGAAGAAAGATGAACTGGTGCAAACCGAACAAACGAGAATGAATTGAAATGAATTAAAATGGATTCAGATTACTCGTAAAACCGGGTAGGAATTATCTTAAAACATTTATGAGGAATTTGCATGAGGAGTTTTCTGGAAAACCATGTTAAATCGCATAGAACACATTTCCCTAAGAATGAATGCAGCATTTCCATAAGAATGAATGCAGCTTTTGAAACTGGAATTCTTCATTAAACCGCGTAAATTACAAGAAATTCGTAATTTCAAATATTATAAAATCCAGTAAACGATTGACGTGGGATTTCAAGTAGAACCATGTAGAATATCGTAATTGTAATGCTGCTTTGTCTGCTTGATATGGAAATATCCATACAACCACATAGAAAGTCATATGTAAAACATTCGAAAAACCTAATGATAAACACAATGATTCCTTATAAAACCATGTAAAGAATAATTTGAATGAGAATGAATGCGAAATTACTATTTCAAAAAACTGATTCATTCCGTGTAGGATTTTTTTCTATGTGGATTTATCTGGCATTTTAAGCAAGGTAAAATTATTATAAATGTCTTAGGAATAAAATTTGTAATTTGAATGTTTTTAAATATAAATGTTTTTTTTTTAAATATTAAACTAATATCAGCTCGGATTTAATCCATTCAATCCATTTTCATGAATTTAAAGTACGTATTAAAAAAATTTTAATCCATTTTAATCCATTCTTGTTTGGGAAAGTTCAACTAAAAAGAACAGGCTCATAGATATAAGTAAGGTTATGTACCCGAGGATACCCTGATGAAAAATTTTGCTAAAATTATTCCACATTTTGAAATATTTCAGCAAAATTGCTGAAAATTTGCTGAAACTTCATTGAAAGTGAATTTTTCAGCTAATATATTGAAAAATCACTGAAATTTAATTGAAATTTCTTTGAAATTTTCTGAAATTTCTCTGAAATTCTTGTTGAAATTTGTCTTAAAATTTTGCTGAAATTTTTTTGAAATTTTGTAAAACATGAATTTTCAGCTAAATCGCTAAAATCGCTGAAATTAAACTGAAACTTTTTTAAAATGCTGAAATTTTGTTAAAGTGTTCCAAAACGTGGAATAATTTCAGCAACATTTTTCCACCAGGATATATAATATATTCCAAATGCATTTTGAACTTTTTTGTTTTATTGAATTTTATAATAAAATAATATAAACTATAGTCATATAGTTTCCAAATATTATACGTGTTAAAATCTTTTTTTTTCTTATTATGTAAGGGGAAAGTACAAAAGGGACAAATCTTCAATTTAACTCAAACGCAATTATAAATGAATCGATTAAGAAAATCGTTATCACAATGTAATGACTGTACGTCATGTTTTACCTTTACAAAGGTTTTATTGGAATATATGCGAAGAACGCTTCTAATCTTTAGCAGACGTGTAGCTATTTTTTCAATTTATTGGCTGCGTTCAGCAGACTCAACAGTTGAGTAAGCGCTCGCTGCTATATTGATATATTCTTTTAGATCTAAGATTCTGATTGGATGATCTAAAAGAATACACCAATAATGTCGCATGCTCCAACATGCCCAACACGCTCCAATATGTTCGTGTCACTGGAATCAATATGGCGACTAGATATTCACGTCATGTTAAAGCATACTCCATGGATCAATTAAAAGCACGCTCCATTTCTCATCTCAGATGG